TCGGTCGATTGGCATACGCAGCACGTGGCCAAGCCAACGCAACCTGTGCAGTGTGATCAGTTCATCTATCGAGGGTGAGTTATTTCTCCCGAATACCATTCGACGTGCTTCAGAATTGCTGATCCGGTGTTCCCACCAGATTCGGGCAATTCTCCGAAGGTATCGATGGTCAAACACTGAAAGTCTTTTGACGTCCTCGGCGCGCAGTGGCCAGGTTTCTGATCCATATAGTAATATGGAGCGCACCGCAGCATTGTAAACCCGACCCTTGACAGGGAAACTGATGTCACGCCTACGCCACAGGTGACGTAGGTTCGCAAAAGCTGCTCTGGCCTTCCCAATACGGATGGAAATATCATCTTTCGCGAGACCACCGGGACTGATACAGCTGCCCAGGTAGACAAATTTGTCTACTACCTCAATCGGTTCATCCGCAAGCATGAGGCTAGGGTTCGAGCCCACCCAGTCTTGCAGTAGCACTTTACACTTTGCAGGACTTACTGTCCCAAAATAAACGATGAAGCTGTTTTAACCCCGTAGTCAGAAGTAGCATGTCAATGTTCACTTTCAGGTTCATTTGAAACACCTGATGGCATTTCCGTCATTTCATACGATCACTACTATCCAAAGAGGTTGATCTGTTTTTTGAAGATCTACACTACAATAGTTCAGGGAAGCTGGCTCAGGTGAGACCTGAAAACAATCGGTGTAAATAGGAGTGCATGTTATGCGTGATTCGCTAGCTTAGAGATCCAGCTTATGTGAGATAGTTTCCAGACTGGCCCCTTGACAGTGTGAGGTTAACCACATATAATAAGGTTGTGAATATCGAAAGGTACTGTGTAACACTGTAAGATGACAATGAACCCAATTATAAGCCACGCTGGGGAGACTTACGGCCGTCTGTCAGGCTTCATAATAGGCCGAATTCCGTTCTTGCACAACTCCACAGGTCGATCACTGGGCTAGATCCAGTGATACCCCTCGTCCTCAACAGAAGAGGGTGCATCGAGGTTAGCAATGTTCAATGACAGGTCTAAGTGCCATAGTCAGCAGTGTTCTAGCCATCAAAGTTAATCAACCCTGATAGTTATGGCCTCGGATAAACCACAGTCGTAAGGAGATTTAGCAAGTCTTTTCTACTTCCCCCCGGGTATTGAAATCAACCCAAAGAATGACACCTAAATCCACAATTTTCGTCCTATTCGGTCTCATGTACTCACTTAAAAATACCACCGATTTAACTGAGATTGAGTTCAAGAAAGCTCAATGGTTAAAGCTCAAACTTACCGATCGGAAGGTCCGTGGTTCGAACACAACCCGGCATCTCCACTGCTTCTATCTGGGCTTTGGCAACCTGGCAGTACCGCGGCCCTCATGTTTCCTTCGCGCGTGGTCGCAGCTAGACACCAAAAAGGTGTTACATCTAAATGATTTTCAACGTAGATTCCTATTTCATATTGAGCCGCTGTTAGTTTATAGATGTTTGATGGCCTCTGTTAAACGTATCCGCTATATTTTGTTGTCAGCAATGATTGAATACCAAGGAAGAGAAAAAATTGGACGATTTTCACCCACTAAAGTACGTCAAGGGTTATCATTCTCCAGTTGGACAAGCGCATCCCGCGGCCGATTTTTCGGCTCTCGGAAAGCGCTTAATTCACGTTGAAATGCCACCCCTACTCAGTGTGTACTCTATAGTAGTAGCAGCTGGTTTAGATGCTGAGAGGTTTCAGTATACGTAGCACTTGTGGATGGTTCAGGGCCACACATTTACGTCCAATTATTGTTTTTGTGAAGGAGAAAGCACCATAAATCTTCTGAACGAAACCTGTTTCTGACAATGCTTCTCAGGTTTTTCTCTGACCGTCCATTTCCAGTTTTCTTAAGATCGCTTGTGGCACAGCCACAAAAACAGACGGGCTGGTGGTTTGAAAAATGTTAGGCTTTTGTTTTGAGAAATCGTGCAGCAGCTTCATACTTCCAATAATACGACGTTTGTTTGGTATTGTACTAGATCAGTGTTGTGGATCCATAAATTTGATTCAATCCAAATTCAAGATCTCAGTTTTCCTGAGATCCTGCGATAATGTAAGTTTACAAATTTTCGGCCCATTCAGCACAGTAGGTATTTTACCTTGATGGCTTGCATGTTTGATGGATCCTACTATATATAACGGGTTATCAGTAGACAGGGATGAAAAAAGCTTCGTATGAATTCAGGGAAGAAGCCATCAGTGGAGTACTCTTAGCTTGGTGTTTAACAAAGCAAGCAGGTTTGTCCCATGTATTAGTCACCTTACTGATTACGTTCCACCATTCTTCTTGTATTTCATTCCTTTCTTAAGTACCTTGACTCCGTTAATTGTGACCTGAAAATAAATGCAACCGTTATCTGAAGAATCCTTGTTGTTTTGTCGAACCCCCACTAATAATACCGCTGAATGCCCAGTCTCTCCTTCGAAAACATGGTGAGCAGCCGTAAAACTAAAACTATCTTCCATGGTAGCAAACGTGTTGGGTACAGTGAACGTATTCAAGATGTCTGAACAACATCGGATCTAAAAAAAAGCTGTTTTTTGGAGCAAATTGATGTAGCTGAAAGTAATGTGTTGTGTCGCATAACGGGATACCTTAGGAACTGCACCTATCTATACATCCTCAGTTACTCCACCGCATGTTAACTTTTGCAGATCCTCTTAAATTTACTCTGGGAATTGCTAGCATCTGTAGAGCACCTACGCCCATGTGGATGAAGTGAAGTTTCATGCCTTCAGTGAAAACACCTTTTTATGTACCGTTTTACAGCTGATTGTTCACAAAAGATTTTTCGAGTCATTTAAATGCGTTAGTTTAAAGGCTCAACACTTTCTGAGCACAAAATTAGCGCGGAAAATTTTTACAGCCAAGACACCGCCATTTGAGTGTAGTGCATCCGGCTCTAGTCACGTCTCAGTTGATAATTGATCTATCTTTTTCACCAAGGACGTTTTTGTTTCTGCACTACCAACCGCTTTGCAACCAAAAAACCTTAGCACAAGCGGTAAAGGCCATGAAACACCTCTTCAAAATAAGCATTGATTAATGACGCTTGTTGTTCGCCTCCTAATTAATCCTACTGATGTGGCTAAAAAAATTTTGCAGCACTAAAACTTCCAACGAAACTCTAGTCCAATTACTTAAAATCGGAAAAAGTACCAAAGGGGGGACAGAGCCAGTATGGTTTAAATTTTCCGTCAAATGCCTGCTATGTTCAATCTACCTGACGATGTGCAAAAATTTCCAAATTCAGGAATGAAGCTTTTCTGCATCCAGGTTCGGATGACACCCATCGCTCACACAACGAACCCCAATCACTATTGAGTCATCATACTCACAACCTTTTTCGGTAGGCAGAATGAATGGAAGAGTCTCAACCAGTTAGAGGAGAATCAATTCTCAAGAGACAGTAACCAGGCTGATAACGGGATTAGTACTGGTTACAGTCTCCAATAAGTAATGGCTGGTGACCGTCTGTGTCACCGTTTTCTAAGTTGACAGTACAGTAGAGTTGACTTTTATCAAATTTAAGGAAGATAGTATGACGTCGGGTACCGTCGGACAACGTATCACTCCTTTAGGTCGTGTGGAGATACAATAAATGTTACTGTATGGTTTACCTCCAGGCGGTTGTGTTGCATTCCACCAAGCCGCAAATATTTTTTTGAAAACAGACTGAAGCCCCGTATTCAACCAAAAGGAGCATGAAGATACTCATAAAGCTGAATACAAAATCTCTTAGAAGTACAAAAAAGAAAGTCTGAAGGTTCAAAGGTATCCTCAGCTCTTTTGACGACCGACACCATGTGATCTTCAGTTTTGGGCCATCATCCGTCTGTATCCAAGATCATCTACTACATTTTCTGTTATAACAGCAACGTTTCAAAGCAGCTAGTTGCATGTTCTCCCTGGTTAAGAAGAGTCTTAACCGAGTCTTAGCCTTTAAAATCAGTAACCTGGACCACCACGACACACTGTGGACTGTACTAGTGTCCAGCTGCAGTTCCTCCTTGTCTCCCTACGTTTTCACGGCTCACCACAGTGTGACTATGAAGATGGTGCTCTATGAGAAGACCAAGTAAGATAATGCGAAGGATGCATTTAAACGTCCTGAAGATGCCCATGTGTGTACCCCCTATCCGAGTTCCTCAATAAATTTTCATGCTTATTCCTCTCTGATTAGTGGCAAGTTGGGGCCGGGCAATTTTCGCTGATGAACACGTGTTGACAGATATTTTTTGTTAGAACCGTGTTCACTGAGTAAAATATATACTGACCCATATGCCTTTCCAGTACCAAGTTCAAAGTTCCCCCCAGCAGTTATATATGTGGTATACTTACCATGGAGCTTGTAAAACAAACTTGAATAGTTGCCTCATTTCATGCCTAAAATACTGAACTCGACCTCCTTAAACTTGTACCGTTGGTCACTTACACATATCATCTGTTAGCTTCGTATGTTTTCGCGAACAGTACGTTTATTGCAGGGCGAATTTGATTTTTTTTGAATTTAGTAGGTTTCAGTACATACCGCATGCCCATGTTTCACCCTTGATGACGTGGAGTGCGGTCTAAATATGCGATAGTTACTGGACATTTCGAAGTCTCCTGATATTTTGCACATTCACTCGCCCGTAAGCACGTAAAACGGACTTTGTGTTATCTGTGGATACTTCTTATCCATCTACGAACAAGATTCGTTAAATTTTTCGCGTAAAGCTTTAAATGGGATACCAGCATCGGTCAAGGAAACCGCTTGCTTAAAGCGCCAGTGATCGTTACTGATGAGGTGTCCCCGTTACTCAACGTTGACCTGAATAGAAAAAATATCAACTTCCAGCTATGATGCTCGGTTAAATAGCGCTTAAGTCATCGTACCACGAGTGGGCGGTTTATTGTCATCTAAACATGATGCACATCTAAAGTTTGACCTCGTAATAGGCCTTGATTCTGTCAAAGCAGTAAATTCTCCAACGATCATCCTCAAAAAGTCTCGTTTGTAGCATGAACGGTTCATTCCGTAGTATTTAAAATTATTCTGTTTTCATGTCACTTTTAACTGATTTCTTGAATTTTCGCCAACTTTGTAGTTTCTCCGGCGCTGCGTTTGGTCACTTAGTCAAAAGGTTTTGTTCCCGGAAACTTCTTGAACAACAGTACGTTTCCTTTTTCTAGAACTTCCAGACGCGTGTAATACCAAGCTTTGTCCATTTACCTTATTTTCTGTCCGTCGGTAAAGCGCATAGGAACTTGACCTTGTCCTGGTGTTGATCACTTGCTGGTCGTATCACACCTCCCGTTACACCTGTATCATTAGTATACCATTCACCTGCGCATAAGAAAAACAACTTAGACTCCAAATGTCACTGCTCGCTTGCCTGTTGAACTGGTTGTTCCCTAGTTTAGGGATTATTCTGGGTCACTAATTTTATTTAACTGCTCATTAATCGCCCAACCATGGTTCATCTTTTGATCACTCTTCTGATCTCTCCTTTTTGATATTTATCCATGTAAAGTCATTCCCTACACTTTTTCACGGCCCTCTATCTTACAATCTCACCGGGGCCCGTATCGGATTATTTGAGTTTTCAGTAGAAGGACATTCTCCTCAGTCTTACCTCCCTGGGTCCCTAATCAATGTACATGAGTTTGGCTGCAGTCAAATTT